GATAATCCTGTGACTGAACAGAACATAGATCGTCCTGTCGATAATACAAATCGTACAATTATTCTAAATGAGTAATAATTTTCATGTATTTTAGGAAGGGCATAAGTTTTGGGTAGTGGTGCGTCACACTGGAATGCATTTTAAAATATTCCTGTTTGAAAATATACTTTTTTCAACCATAGTTTAAGTAAATATTAGAATTCTTTTCAATTTGTTTAGCAAGATTTTTTTAATGATTGTGTATGTATTTGTATCTTGTAACATGTTTTTTGTTTTTTGAATATAGAATTCTTTATTCATGGCAACCGTGATATTACCTTTATCCGCACGTGTAAAAATAATGTTAGGATTGTTTTTACAAAATCTTTGAGTTATTTTGTACATAGTTAAAAGTTTTGTATTAATGTTGTTTGTGGTAGGTTTAGAATATAAATAGTTGCGTAGTTGTGGGATGACAACGTTTCTAATTTTTGGGTGATTTTTAATATTTTAACGTTTCGTATTGCCTTCTATATCTTTTATAAATTTGTGTATGGTTTTCTTTCTGTTAAAACTATTTGAGAGGCAGAAATTGTTCCCAAATTGTAACAGTTTGGAAACCTCCTGAGGAATATCAATATTAGGAAGGTTGACAAACCATTTATCATTGGTTTGTTCCAAGGGATCAATTAAGTTGTCCATGAATTCTGATGGTTCAATAAGGATTTCTATGACATTACTATCTGGATTATTGATCGGTAAGTTACGACTAAAGAATCAATCATGGATTTTATCATTCGACTACAATTTCCAATTAAGGATCTCACAAATGTACAGCGATTTCAATTTTTTTCTGTTCAGTATTTATTTGATGTTCTTATTATTATTTCTTGGATGTTGAAACTTGTAACTTGTGACAATTTGTGTATTTTTTTATTAATTTTGGCTAAAGAAGGCACTGTGTTGTCAAAACGTTCTTAATTAATTAATTGTTAGAAACAATAAACCTTTATTGAATCTAACAACTTCCATGCTCGTTATTGGTCGTTAACTTTTTATATTATTGTTGATACATACGAGCTTGATTTAATTTAATTTAATTTTTAATTTATTAGTTATCGCGAAAAAAATTCACGAAAATATATAGCATTTTTTTCCGACTGTCACAGTGGATTCCCCTCTTCATAACTTTGATAGTAATAACATTACTTCTTGAAATAAAATATTCTATTTGATAACTGATTTAATTTTTCTGAAAAAATTATAAAAATGATGTTTTAATATTAATATTTTGAAATATTAATGTTTATTTTATTATTTAATTCTTTGTGTAATATATATATATATACCGGGTGTCTGAAACCACCCGCCCACCTCTTTTCTTTCAAAAACTAAACATTTTAGAGAAAAACGTTACAGACAAAAATTGTATGGTTTTGAGGGGAACATAAGATGGTGTCATTGATTTGACCTTGGGTGGCATCGTTAAGGACAGATCAAGGACACCTTCAGTTTCTTAAATGGAACTCCCTATTTTTTATTGCATATTCTTATAGCTTATGTCGAGAGCTTTCCAAAACACTATAATCAAGTATTTTTTTATTAAGTACTTTTCGAGTTATAAGGCTTGAAAGTTACAGTATAGTGACATAATATTTTGTTAAGTATTTATAATTCAAATTCCTTATTTTTTATTTTTGCAAACAATACAAATCAATTAATGTAAAGAAAACACTTTTCTTGAAAAAAAAATTTGTTGTGTAACTGTTTATTGCATATTTATTATTTTATTAGCTTCTCACGATTCGGGGTGCTTGATTTGCGTGAGTCCCCTTGCCTCTCACGATTCGGCCCCTCACGAAATGCTTTTTCAATAAACAAACGTATATGGTAGGTAGGCTCTGAGTAAAACAAGTTAAGAAATAATTGGCTATGAGAGCCGACGCAGGATCGAATATGTGGAAAAATTATATTTGCAGTCAAAACATTAAAACATTAAGATCAATAAAACGTTTCGGCCCTAAATCGGGCCCTCTTCAGTGACTCATATAAAAGTTAATGTGAACGCAACGACGCGGTATCGCAATGGGCTGATTACAATATCGGATATGCACGCGTACAATGGTATCGCAATCGGTTAATGCGAAACGCAAGCGCAGATATTATGATTCACATTTTGAAGACGTTAGGTGCGCGTTCAGATTTCTCTTCAAGTGTATGTTACGGCGCGTATGTCCGGTAAGCACCTACGTAGCATTGACAGCGGGAATCAAAAAGGGAGAGACGAAAGCAGCAAACTGTGGCCCGGCAGAACTACCGAATGCAGTAATCATTAAAGCCATTACAAAAGATGGAAAATATGCGTAACTTACTGCGTGCTACACGAACCGCATTCAGACGTCTCTGACATATTCGCTGTGTGGAGAACGATGTGTGTTCGTCGGCATCTGAGCCCCGAATGTAAGGTCAAAGCGCACGCCATGATCTCAAGAGCACGCGAACGTATAACAAATTATAAACAAATATACATCGCCGAGCACACGGTCGCAACAAGAGAATTCGGCGAATTTACCTAAACATTAGAGCGACGTTTTATTTTATTTATTAGCGGGAGGTATGATTCGCCTAAAAAATCGGTGTCTGTTTGTAAATTGACCCCATCCGCAGTACTATTTCAAAACTTGTACACTTTTATCACGACGAATTAGTACAGACCTTCATATAAAATGTATTTGTGCCTTATTTTTATCTCTCTTCCTTAATATTATCAGGAATTACCCATTATAATGTTTCTATACAAATTGTAGTACTGGTCAGTGTGTATAGGAACTGAGTATCAAACCTTTTATTCGAAGGGAAGGAAAGAACGATGCCTTAATTGCTTAATGAATCAATTATACTTTATTTGGCAGAATCTCATCGAATACCAACATTCGTTGCACGGGTAAGGAAAACTGCCAAAAACCTTACCAGTATTCATAAAATAAAAGTACAATGTTTATATCATTTGATAACAAAATCAAAGTATTACATTCGGTTGTGCAGGAATGCAGCAATTAATGTTTATCTCAATTAGACAATGTCAAAGTAATTTAAACGAAATCAAATTAATACACAATATAATAAACAGTCATAAACATATGCAAAGAACGTAAATCATACAAGAACAATGCAGTAAAGGATTATATTGAATCGTTGTCATTTATGATTGAAGGTTTTTCTTTGTTACTTTTTATCGGATATTTAATCTTTCTTTTACCAATCAAACTACTAAGTTCAAGTAATGTTTCAGCATAGAACGTCGAATAAGAATATAATTTCTGAAAGGAAAGATCATGTTTAGAATTCGATATGTTATAATAGTGTATTGTACTTCAATCATTATTGACCTGGATAAACTTGTATAAGTTGAATATAAACTAATATCGCAAATTATTACCAAAATATATACAGAAAGACACGCAAGAAATAGAATATTACTAATTACGGTTAATAAAGGAATATAGTTTCTCGAACTGAGAATTTCGACAGTATTTACTATTTGTATCATTCGATAATAATATCTATATTGACTTTAGTTGCGTTTAGTACACGCTATGTAATATGCTTAGGATACGCAATGTCGTACTAGTTTAACACGGTATATCACGCTCAAATCACGCGATGTTTCACGCTTCAGATATTTCGTTGTCACGCGTCAAACACGCTATATGTTATACGGATAGAAGCACGAATAGCCTTATACTATTCGTCTTCTGGAAAGTTCACGAAGGAACTGAGCTCTCAAGAAAAGGCCTTTCGATCGTATTAATTTATGTGCACCACAATATGGAATCGTGAAAATCTCACGATATTCTCAGTAACCAATATCCGAGGATTAGGCTTTGTAAAGCCTGAATATAATGTCAACCCAAGAACGGTTTTACCAAATAAAATGATAAGGTTACCTTGCAATTAGCCACAATTAGGCTTGTTCCAGAATAAAATAACTGGAATTCTCTCATCAGAAGTATACTTATCAAGTACAAAGACGACGCAAGGGATCCTCGTCCTTCAAAATTATATCTCGTGATTAATGGCCGCCCTCATCTTCAGTATCGGAATTCCCTCGTTGAGTGTCCGAAAAGAAGTGACGACGAGAACGTCGTTGTTTGCGCGGTAAAATCAGGGAACGCGGGAGGTCGATAACAAATAAATCTGTCTATAGATTTCTCTCTGCTCATGGCTCTGTTTTACCCCAGGCAGCTCTGCTCGTCCTTACTCTCAATTCGAATGAATGCTAGATTCTGAACATCCGTAATGTGTCCACACGTTTTCGGATATAGCGAACGACTGACTTGTCTATTCGGTCGCGCATCGCGATCGAGGCTTTCGCGCCCCCCACTCCTTGTTTACGCTTCGCGCTCCGAAATTCCGCGCGTGCCACCTGTCGCACATGTGTCGCACATGTGTCGCGCTCCAAATTCTCACACGTACTTTCTAAACACAGTGATTAATTTCACATGGAATATTCAGTTCAGTACTTCAGTATTAACATTAAAATACTGGACAGTGATTTATTACACATGGAATCCTCGATCCAGTACTTCAGTACTAACATTAAAATACTCATCAGTAATTCAACACAAGTATTTATTACACAAGTAATTTTCACCTAGTATTAAATGCTTTCTCATCAGAAATTTAATACTAAGTATTCAATACTCGTCCTGTATTAAATACTACTTTCATAAATTACTGGCCAGTAATAAAATACTGTGCAATACTTGAATCACAGTGATTCAAGTACTAATAAATACTTAATTTTAGTATTATTAATACACAAAATAAGTATTTATTACTAACCAGTTAGTAATACTTTTTTGTAAGGGGTTGTGCTGCAGACCGATGTGCAACATTTCAGAAACCAAGCGTTTAATGTGAAACGGTTCTTTGTCAAGGATTACGGCACTCCCGAAATCAAACTTATGGTTATTATCCATACAATGCATCTGCACTACAGAATGTCCTCCCGGATTTACTCGCTTGTGTTCCCTGATACGGGTTTCCAATAGTCTACCCGTCTGTCCCGTGTACGAAGCATCACAGTCAGCGCAGTTGATGCGATACACCACGTTGCTTTGAGAAACGTTATCGACAGTGTCCTTGTGTACTTTAATAAGGCCGTTTAGTCGATTAAAGCCGTAAAAACTCAGTTTTTCATCCATAGTACTGGCGAGATGAGTGAATTTTTCTGATATATTTTTTACGTACGGAACAGACAGATAAGACCTACCGCTTGGCTTTTCATCGTCCAGAGGCCCCGAGATAGATTTTTTTAAAAGAGAACTAAGCTTTTTCACAATTATCGCGAAAACGAAGTCCAATGGATAACCATTCTCGAGTAAGAGAGTGATGGCCAGAGACAGATTTTTTTGGTGAAAACTAGTATGGGATAGCCTGAAGGCCCTGTCAATTAAACCCATAGCTACTCCCCTCTTTTGGCCGTTTGGACGGCTGGAAAAGAAGCTGAGATATCGTCCAGAAAAGGTCGGTTTGTGATACCAGTCAAATATCAGTCTTTCATTGGCAGCTATTATCGTGGTGTCGAGAAAATTAAGGGTGTTGTTATTACTAATTTCTATTGTAAACTGTAGCCTGTTGTGAATGGAGTTAAAAATGTTAAGGGTGTCTTGTAAGAAGTTAAGGGGCGCCGCAGATGCAACGTCGTCGACATAGCGGAAATAAAAAGGTGGAATATATTTGAGTCGTTTCAAGGCCTTATTCTCAAGATCCCGCATGACAATCTCCGCAGCGTCAGGGGACAGAGGAGACCTCATAGGACTGCCGTGTGTCTGTCTATAAATGACATTGTCAAATGTGAAGTATGTAGAATTAAGCACGAACTTGATAGCGGCTACGAATTCTTCACGCGGTGATTTAGTATTTGGACCTATGAGATTCCACTGTCTACATATGCTGTCAATGACCAAGTCGGTCGGAACATTCGTAAAAAGCGAGATAACATCTAAAGAGAATAACACGAATCCATGGATCCCCCTGCAGGGGGAAACTCTTTGTTGTTCAGCTTTTCGACAAGTGTAAAGCTGTCCTTGATGCTGGATCCATTTATAGGCAAACTCTTGTGTAGGATCTTTTGTAGGAAAGAAGCTAGGTCATACAGAGGAGTGTTAATAGAAGACACAATGATTCTGAGTGGGCAATCGGGTTTGTGGATCTTAGGTAGGCCATAAGCCCTAGGTAAGATGCCGTCACTGACATGTAAAGAGCGATATTTCTGCTGTGTGATATATTTTTTATTTTTCCAACGCGTAAGGAGGGAGACCAGCGTTGAAATGATCTTTCTGGTAGGATTTCTGTCAATAATGGAGTAGGTGGTTTCGTCTCCTAGTAAAGCACTCATTTTCTCCATGTATTCAGACTTCAGCATAGCTACTGTAGTGTTGCCTTTGTCTGCCCTCGTGAAAATGATCTCGGGATGGTGACGGATAAAGATGTTGGTATCTCTCAAGGCTGATCTTAACTCCAACCCAATGGAGTTCAAAAAAGGGTTGGAATCGAAAAGCCTGTTAACAATTGCGGAGGTGTAGTTCCTCAGACCAACCTTCTTAATGGCCGGTAATCTGTAGGCACTACTCTCCACTCTCTTGATAAATTCAAAGCATATCTTGCTCTTATTGTCAGAGAAAGGAAGGCTAAAACCGTCACTAAGCTGGAGTAAGCCCTGAACGACGCGAGGGATGGAAATGCTGGTTAAGTTCAAAAACCACTTTTCCCGTATATGTAAGGGAGACATGGAGATGTTATCCATGAAAGAGGTAGGATCTAAAGAAACTTGACCGCGTCGTTGCGTTCACATTAACTTTTATATGAGTCACTGAAGAGGGCCCGATTTAGGGCCGAAACGTTTGATTGATCTTAATTTTTCAATAACTATCAATCACGCAATAAAAAATCGGTACTCTTCTTTTATGGTATACGCTATACGCTAAATTTAAGTCTTTGTCGAAAGTAATTCAATATGTACTTGGTGAATAGATATTCTGTAAGAATGATACTTAATGCATGAATATGAATGCCTACAGAAATTACACAGCGCGCAATAGTTTATTCCAGGTATTTTAGACATTGTTCTTAACAACGGTAAAAGAATTACACTCATTATAAATGCCATTAAAATTGTTCTTCAGCTTTGTAGATTAGTGCGCTATCTACTGTGCCACATTACACTCTTACACAACAAGTTTTTCTGTAAGAAAATTTTGTTTTTTTACATTAATTGATTCATATTGTTTGCAAAAATAAAAAGTAAAGAATTTGAATTATAAATACTTAACAAAATATTATGTCACAATACTGTAACTTTCAAGCCTTATAACTCGAAAAGTACTTAATGAAAAAATACTTAATTATAGTGTTTTGGAAAGCTCTCGACATAAGCTATAAGAATATGCAATAAAAAATAGGGAATTCCATTTAAGAAACTAAAGGTGTCCTTGACCTGTCCTTAACGATGCCACCCAAGGTCAAATCAATGACACCATCTTATGTTCTCCTCAAAACCATACAATTTTGGTCTGGAACGTTTTTCTCTAAAATGCTTAGTTTTTGAAAGAAAAGGGGTGGGCGGGTGGTCTGAGACACCCGGTGTATATATATATATATATATATATATATATATATATCTTGATAATTCTTTATTTTTTCAAAGTGATAATTGACAATAATTTATAGATTTAGAATTTAGGTTTTTTTATTCTTTATTTTTTCTTTACTTTCTTCAACATCTTTTTCAAATAATAATTATTGAATTAATTTTACCTTTAAATATTTTGCTTAATAAATAATTATTTATTAAATATTTATATTTGTCTGCGAACGATGTTGGCAATCTACTGAGAACGGATAATGTAGGAAAACAATGAATTTGTTGGTCCGGTAGGTAGTTAATCCGTAAATCGCAATTTATAAGAAAAATTTGAAAATTTTACTATATGTTAATGGATGTGGTATCTACACGCATGTACAAATTAAAAGTAATTGACCGTCCTGAACGCGAAATAATCGCTATCAAAAATTGCATTTTTTTCATGTGTTGCATGCACGAAGCATACGAAAATTTCGTATTTTAAATTTTAATAATTAAAACAAATTTTAAGAAAATGATAAAAAAACGGATTTATAGTAGGTCACTTTAAGAATACTAGTAAAAAAAAACCAAAATTATTAACCGCGTTTAGAGATTTAAAAATACAATAATAAATAGACCGCGATTTTCGTGATTATTTGATGTAAAGAAACGACTGGAGGAGAAAAATAAAAGAATTGTCTTTTGTTTTGTGTGTAAGGGAAAGAACTATTCAAAAGCCTGTAACCGTAAATAGTCAGATGTTTAGAATTTAGAGTATACAATTTTGGATTATTGTATTGTTACGGACTATAACTACCTTAAACGCGTTCTTTTCGGCGTGCACTAGAATATGTTACATATGTTAAAATTAAATAATTTTAATATTTGGCAGGCGGAGTCGGTTAGTGGAGCGTGTGTTGTGCATGCGTGTGCGAGTTGCGGATAAGTTAGGCTAGAGTTTAGAGAGAAATAGGAGGCGAAGTAGGCGCTAAATCAATAGAAAGGTAGGAAGAATAACTTAAGTTTGAGATAGGATAATAGATAAAGTAGGGAAATATTAAATAGTGTAGGAAAAGAGCGCTAAATGTATTGGAGAGAGGAAGAGGTTAGGTGAGAGAATAAGGCGGGAGAATAACGTTGTGCGTTCCAATTTAGAAGAGACAGGGGATGCTGGACTGACGGCCGAACTTCCTCGATGTCGATAATGTCAACATTTCTAATTTTGTTTTTCCTATATCTGTCTTTGTCTAACAAAATGACATCTGTCTTTGTTCGATTGCCGCGCCATCTTTGGTTACTAGTCTGCGTGTATATTTTTGTGGAAAATATATGCGATTTCTTCGAAGCCCAAATTTTTTTTTCAGGCTTTCAATCTCAATTTCAACGGTACGTTATTGTTTATGCACGTATTCTGAAGAGTGGGAACATTTCATTTCGTACATATAACCTATACAACTGTTTATATTAGAAAATATGGTTATAAGGGGTGACAGCATTTTTACATTTTTTTTCAATTATCACTAATTTTTTACATTCCCACTCTTCATTAGTACCTATACTTTACTCGTGCAAAAGGATTTTGCAATCTATAAAGCCGTTTCAAAGAACGAGCCCTGACTGTTTTGTCGGTAATTGTCGCCTGTCCAGGATCCCCTTAAGAAGTGCGACGCTATTTCTCGATATGATTTTCCCCGGGTCGTGAGGCGGGACTGAATAACGTAGCAAAGTTATGATCGGGTGGCAGAGCGGATCTCGAAAGCGATACGAAACAATGTTGGGCGCCAGGTGTGGATACGGCCACACCACCGTTTACTCTAACCCGCGAAAAGTACTCTACATGAACTCTACAAAGATCCGACATAAACTCTAATTATCGACACAACTCTTAATTCACACGTCATGACACATCCGCTCTGGCCGATCGCAACGACTGCTCAGGAATTTCGTTAGAGGGCCGTGGTCCTTACATAGGCTGAATGCAGAGGGGTTTGACCTTGGCGAGGCGAAACAAACACAAAAGAAAGTACTCAAGTAACATGTAAATCAAAATATAATATAAGAGAAAGCTGGATAATAGCGTTACAACTTACAGGACGCGAGCGAAATATTCCCCGCGATCAATCGCAGTCCCCCGACTACGCAAGGTCTTTCGAAGGGTTCGCGCGTTGTAAATGACTCGGACGCAAAACTAATATTTTCGGAAAACGTACGTGTAGCTTGTACTCGCCATAAGGGGCACTCTACGCTATGAAGTACGCAAGGCGCAATAATATACACCGACGAAATAATACACGCAAGAAATAGTCTACGCTAAGAAATACGCAAAAAGTAATAAGATACGCCGACGGAATAATACCCGCAATCACAATAATCCACGCTAACTAACGAAAGAGTAAAATAAACGATACGCGCACAATAATTTCTCGCACCATAAACGATACGCGCAATATAACTCAAAGTTCCTTGCAAGCTAAACGATACACGCAATATAACTCAAGGTTTCTCGCAAACTAAACAATACACACACTATAGGAGTTCTTGCATAACACCCCTCGAAACGTAACGCGAAGCCTCGCCGCGCGGTCCACACCGCGAGCACGTGATACTCACACCTAATTCAGCCCGGGACGTGCGGTACTCTCAGCCGGAGTAAATCTCACTCTAAATTTCTGAACGTTAATCGAGGTCGATTTCGGGCACCTTCTTCGAGAAGGCTGACTCTATGTCCGGTATGCCGACGCCTCACACTTCCCGTACCGGGCGCGGTAATTTACGTATCTCGGAGGCCGACACGCCCCAGAACGACCGTACGCACGAAAGCCCGCACGATGAAACTTTCACTACGCGAAAACTAACTCTAACGGAAACGCAGATATCTTACACACAGATCGATAGACACGATACTCATAAACGGTAATCTCGAAAAGCTCGAAACGGTAACTTAACTCTAATGACTGTTGAGCCGATCCGCGAGGTTTGATCTCGCAACACGCGCCACACTCATGACGCATGGCCGGTGCCACGCGGTCGCTCGTCGTTACTCGATTACACTCAAAATCTTATACCACACCGGTCGAGTCGGGAAGAAACAACCGCCCCTTCGGTATTATTACGGGGAGTCAGCGGGCGGGCTATGTCTTACCCGTAGAAACGAAACGGAAAAGCGATAATCCCGGCAAGGGATTCACGACAATGACGCATAGGTAAGGAAACTCTCAAGCAAACCTACGCGTCTCTCTCAAAAATAACGCGAAACGGTACTCGACAATCCGCCCCGCTGTTCCCCGATACCTGCGGTCCGGGATTGCTGGTCGTTTACATCTCGTCCTTCCTTCCTTCACAACGTAACTCCTAGGGCCGCCGCCCTCGCTTATTCCCGGCGCAACGGGAAGGCCCTCGCCGTACGTCAGCCCACGCTCGCGATCGACCCAACAGTGCCGGGATCGTTTCCGCGGCTTCGACTCGCGGCCCTCTAGATCAGGGCGCTTCACCGCACCGGCGGATGGCGCCACGCTGCCGAAACGGGCCCTCCGGCCGCTTCTTCCTGAAAACTATAAACTCGGAAGTACGCGCGCAATACAAAGGTTTGAGTGGCGAAGACTGTGACGTGCACATCGTGCAATGTCACAAAAGATACACTAGAAAGAGAGCGTGAACGAGTGACGTATAGAATGGAGGGAGTATAGAAATGAGCAGATTAGAGGATGGTCGGAGCAGAAGAGGAAAAGGGTTGAAAGACAGAATGGATAAGTTTGAAGATAGACTTCTGAGGATGGAACAAATGAAAGAAGAATTAATGCTGGAGAAAAGAAAGAAATTATAATTGAAAAAATAGTAGAAAAAGTGTCGGAAATAGTAAAAAAGAGAGAATTAAATATAAGAGAAAAAAAGGAAAGACAAAACAATTTTGTAATCAGAGGATTACAAAAGGAAGAAAGTGAGAGTTTAAAGGAAACAGCAGAGATATTTTTGGAGAGGGAATTCGGAGTAAGAGAAAAGGTGAAGAAGATGCAGATAACAGGAAAGGAAGGAAAGGAGGTAGTTATTGTGGAAATGGACTGCTGGGAATCGAAGGAAAAGATAATGAAGGAGAAGAGGAAACTAGGAAGCAAGAAAATCTTTATCGACCACGAGGAAGAGATCATCTAACGTACGAGGAAAAAGAG